GAGAGCAGCCTCGGCCTCCCAGCTACCAAACACTTCAAGATATGCTTACTTTAAAGCATTTACGCATCTCCTTAACACAGAGAGATAAATCTCAGTCTTCAAATAAATTATTCACATTATGCAGTTGTCTCTTTTGTGCTCACCCATCTGTAAAAATGGTTTTGCTTCAGAAAAGAATTGATTTTTATCACTTTGCATGAAACAGCAAAAGCATTTTGTTACTCAGATATCTTCCCAAGTTACCATCTTTCCGTGTTACTGAAATAGCCAAAATAAAAGGATTGTAACTTGGAAAAACAAAATTTATCTTCCTTTATCAAACCAACACTTTGATGCATGAAAGTCCAGAAAGAGTTAAACAGCACTACAGGCAGATGATGCCATCTTCTGGTGTCATTTACAAAGCTGTTGATTTAAAACCACAGTGACTAGTCTAGTCAGATCATCATCAGGAGGAGGGGGGGTGCTGTTAGCTTTAGCATCATTTTATCCCCAGGGCAAGGTTCAATGAAATAACATTAATTCAGGAACAGTCAGTGAAGCATTCACAGCGATGGTGGGAAAGCCAGCACTAGGCTGCCATCAGCTCACAGCTCACTGCCACCAGCCTGCCCCTCAGGGGAAAGGCAGGGCATATGGGGCTGCTGAAGCAGGGCCTTGCTGCCAGACTTACCATCAGCATCAAGTCTGAATTGCTGCTGAGGTTTTGAATGAGTGACGATTAGCCTTGCCCAGCCTTGGTCAGTCGACTGTTGCCCCTCTGACTTCTTTTTGCTCTTGTTACTAGATTTCCACTAGTTGGAACGGTATTAGTTTATTATTTTTTCCACGTGCATTCCTGAATAGATAAGACCTTGTCAGAACGAGAGTTACAATGCTGCAATCAATCTTTTATTTGTCAGAACTCTAAGGGAATGGCAGCAGGTGGCTGTGTACTCCAGTCAGACAAAGTATTTAGGCTGATCTATCTGTTCTGCTCCCATTTTCCTCTTATCTGCCGTAGTCTTAATTGCCTCCTCCCTTCATTTACTCCTTACTCTCTAATTGATCTTTCTACTTTATCCTCCCTGTGTAATTACATTTGTATTAGAGTTAAATCAGTGTGTAATGGATTGAAACAAGATTGGACTAAACAGATTTTCCTGTTCTTAGTCACAGAAACAATCCTATCTTCAGAAACCAAGCAGCCTACCGGGTGCAGGGGAAAAGCTATTCTGCCACAGATAAGGCTCAAGACAGCTCTCTGTTTTCTGCACAGGATATTTTTGGGCAGTTATGTCTCTTCATCCATGTTTCACATCCACTCCTCTAAGAAGGCTCTGTATTCCCTGGCAGGAGGATAAGGCACAAGCTAAGTAATTCAAGCTACATGCTTAGAACAATTGAGTAACTTAAATACTGCAGCCTTCTTTGGACTTATCACATTCTCAGCCAAAGGACTTTACCAAATAGAATACAACACTGATTTCATTTATCTCAGAATTACATCTTAATATTCACCTGCTGGCCATTTAAGTAAAGCCTTGCAGAATATTTACCCAAACCCATTCCCATTTCATACATACACTATTCTCACGTTACACTGACTTTGGAGAGAAATGCTGCCATTAAATGCACTTACAGCAGTTCACAAATAGCTGTTAGGTTGGCAAAGTTCACTAGCAGCAGTATAACTGGGTGCCTGTAGCATAAGCTCTGTTAAAAAGCAACAGAGTGGAAAGCCCTGGTAATGCAGTAACACCATGATGTGCTGGGATGCACAGCAGCCACCAGGGATGTGCTCCCCACACTGCAGCCTAGCTGTCCTTTGCCCCTACTATCTGCTACCATCCTGTGGGCTACGGCTTCAGGTAATGCTGCCCTACCCTGAAGCACCCTGTCCTTTGCCCAAGAGCCCCTTCAATCAGCTGTCTGCTTTAGTGAGCTTCCCAGGTACAAGTGGTTCCACGGTGGAGCTCCATTGCTAAACTGATGCAGGGTGGCATTGGCTCACGGACTGAAATTGCCCATACTGAATGTTTCTAACAGTTGCACCAGAAGAAAAACAATTCCCCTCTACGTGCCCTTGTTCAAATGTAAACATTTGGATCTTAAGAGCTAACCCAACTCTTACTACCTGGTCTGCTGCTACACAGGAAACATTTCCTCTGACTGTTCGGAGATCTCTTTCAATTTCTTCCCACCTTCTCTTCTGAGTAACAGTTCACTATGAAGACAAAGATGTCGTTTAATTCATGAAGGTAATTCTCCATCTCTTTAAGTCGGAATATAGTGAAACCTAAAAACAAAGAAAAAATAGAGATCTGAGATTTGAGACTCTTCATCTGAAGTCTGTTGACATGAGTAGCCCGTACAAAGTTTGTTTGCTGCAGCCTTGAGAGCCTTCTTGTTTGAAGGTGTGAATTTCTACCAGGACACTTTATTCCAACTATATCCTGAGCAGTTCTTCCTGGAAGGTACTGGAAAATAAGAGCCTGAATGGCTGTGAACCTGGTACTGAATCCACTGCAGGATGAACCAACCAACCCCACAAGGCTGCACCATCTGAGGATTCTGATTTAAAAACAATAACCATAAAAAAGAAATAGGAAACATTTCTATTACCTCCTACACTGGAGTCAGAAGTAGAGGAAAATGGACTAGCAGGGAAAGAAGTCTCAAAACCAGAGCCTCAGCACAACAGCAAAGCATTGCAATAAACATCTTGTTTGCTGGGGGAAAAAAGCCAACCTGCACATATAGTCTTGTCCAGGATTAAAGGAATGAGATGTAAATAGAACAGCATATTGGTTTGGTGATGTTTGGAGAGAGGAGGCAAAGTACTACAGCAAAATCAGAAACAAAGTTGGGTAATAACTTAGCAGATTTCTAACACTCTCACACTGTGAGATCTTCTATGGTCCAGCAGGAAGGAATGGAAAAAGCAGCAGCAAACCTCTAGATTGCCCTGGAGTTGGCTTGGAACAGTTCTCTCATCAGGTTTGCCAGCAACTGCAAGGCTCAGGAGACAAAACAGGACCTCTGGAGGCTCTCAGCTTCAAACATCGAGCACTGAAGCCAAATACTAACAGTCTGAAATCTAGTTTGACTCCACCTGAGCCCATTTTCCTACCCCCATTAGAACAATCATTGTTTGGCTTCAAATGGTGAATATTCAAAATCACAGTGCCTACAGTTTGGCACATATCAGAATTCAATAGTTCATCTACAGATTAAAAGCATTAAACAAATCTAAATACAGAATCATTGTTTTCTGTAGTAATGACTCCCACAGGAAGATTCAGCATGTCACACTCGAAGCCCAATACAAATTGTTACAGATAGAAATAATCTTACCTGAACAACATTTCTACAGAATATAGCACTGCCCATCATTCTTTTTTGGCACTTCAGGCCCACAGTTAAAGCCTAGAAATTCTTACAAGGACTGTTAGGAGTTCTACATTATTGTAAAGCCACATCGATGCTAATACTTTAAATGGAAGTCATTCAACACACGGCACATTCACCTTTAGAGCTTATGAAATCCTTCTCTCCATCTCATTCTTCCAGCATCTATTAAAAGTTACAAGTGCCAGCAAAAGGCTTTTTGCAGTAATTAGATGAGGGTTAGGCTATGTGAAGTCACAGATACACAGCAACTGTAAGGATATTTTTAGTCTAATGTACCATGGAAATGATCTACATTTGCAGTGGGATGAGCACATGCTACAGAGCTCAGGAGTGCTCACTTGCTTTCAATCTGCAGAAGACATTACTTCCCATTTGTATTTCACCACAGAAAAGCTTTGGGGCTAAATTAGAGAATGCAGTTCTTTTTTGGTATCGCTCCCATTTGCAACACTTCTGGCTTCCAAAAAACTTCTTACTTCAAACTACATAATCATGCAGTCATTCCCAGAAGTGAATGGAGTTCCACAGAAAACCTTAGGCACCTATCAGGAAAGGCTCACATACGCATAATGGACAATGTATCAGAACGTGGAAGTTCCAATAAAGGCACAATGCAGAAAGAGCAAAGAATGAGTGCCTCCCCTTGTGCTGAGGACCCCAAACCTGCCATCATGCCTTGCCTCATCAAGGCAGGAACACAAAGCATTAGGAGATCGTCCATGTGTTCCTATGGATACATTCTGATGTTCTCTCTCTCTGTGGACTTGATAGTGAGGAGAAAATAAAGCCTCAGTTAAGCAAAAAAAGAAAAGTAATAATAGACATCCAAATTTCTGACAAACTCCCCATATTTACAGCTCTGCAAGTGTTTAGCTGTCAGAATTGTTAACTGTCAGAAGCTAAGATAAAACATGTTTAAGCACAACAGATTAAAAGCAGCTCTTTGTACAAACATTTAACAGGAAGAATATACTGACTGTATGGCAGATAGCAAAAATCATACTTCCACTGTTGTTTTTTTTTTTTAAAGAGATGCACATTTTTTTCTTATAGATGCTCTCAAGAAAGCAAAATGCTAAACTAGAGTATTAACTGCAGTCCAACCAACAACAGCTCTTGGGAAAGAGCACGTATCTAAGCCTACGTCAGCCTTGACAAGGGTGGCAGTTCATAGAACCCTAGAACGGCCTGGGTTGCAAAGGAGCACAGTGCTGATCCAGTTCCAACCCCTGCTATGTGCAGGTCGCCAACCAGCAGCCCAGGCTGCCCAGAGCCACATCCAGCCTGGCCTTGAATGCCTGCAGGGATGGGGCATCCACAGCCTCCTTGGGCAGCCTGTGCCAGTGCCTCACCACCCTCTAAGGTTCCTTTGGCAGAACAAGAAGCTGCTCCTTACCCTGATTATTTCCAAGTCTCAGGTTCCAACTGGAGGATGATCCTTCCCTACCACACACTCCAAGAAAAAGAAATAACCACACACACCAAATCCTTCCACAGGATTAAATACAAGCACTGCAACCAAAGTCACCATCAAAAGACCACTGATGTTGTCTGAAATTTCCACCTGCATTGCTTGCACGATGTGAAATAAACACATACGCAACGTGTCCATGTTTTGATATGTATTTTTATTTCCCTGCAGTTTTCACTTATCAAGAACAAGTAACAGGGAAAGTTGTCTGAACTAGTGCATAAACAAACATTCTGAAACACCACTACACGTATCTAATTTACAAGAACCGTATAAAAAAAGTCACTAAAACACTACACTACGAAGGTGTCCAACGCTTACAGTCAGACTTTTTCCAACCCGTTACTTGCCTTGTAGCCACAGGAAAACTCTCCAAAATTGAAAAGACGATCTTGCCACAACCCTCCCTCCCCCCCACCACCTGGGATGGCTCGATATCTAGACATCCAATAATTATTGCAATGATATATAATGCAATACATACCTGGTAAAATATCCTTTACGTGGTGTGTTACAGTTTTAAAGCCGGTTAAAATATGCAGTCTTCGGATAAAATGTAATTGGTTGAAAATTTTCTCTTATCTGCACAATTTTACATGTGCTAGATGCATAATTTTCCTAGTCAGGTTTTTTTTCTTTCCTGTGTAATTATTTTTTATAAACTGGTATTATAAATAGAAATATACATTAAAAATATATGGAAAAGTGAGTTACTACATTAAATTTGCATGTATCGATCCATCCCTTTCCCCTGCACAGTAATAGAAAATACTATTTTGCCTTGAACTTCATATTTGACAGTGAAATGCCACTAAAGTATTTACCAAAAAGTCCATCTAGTCAAATTGTGAAACAAAATGAACCAAGTGAAAACTTTACATTTCCTTTAGAAAAAAATTACAAGAATTTTGTCTCCTAGCTATGAATCTTTAACTTTTTTTTTTAGACACAAAGTTGGATTTATTTGTACAAGATACAAAATGTAAACATGGCAAAATAAATAGTTAAAACAAGTGATGCAGGATCCCATTTCATGCTCATGATCCCATTAAAGAATTATTTTTTAATCCATTCAGTTGCAAATTCAAGTGCAAAAGCATGATGATGAATATCTACTATTCAAGTAACAGAAATAATATTGATGATACAAATAAACTATTTTACAAGGTAGTGATTTTCCCAATTTTACAAAATTTACATTATATATCGACTTAATACACGATATAAGGATAGTCCATTTAGGTCCATTTTAGTTCTCTGTGATCCACAGAGTGCTGTGTTTTGCATTCAGTTGGAATATAAATGACTACACCGTTAGCACAGGTTGAGACACTGATTTGAGGTTATGTCACTTCCATTGCTACTGTTGTCTCTGCTATGCCATTTAAACCCAGCCGCTCTGGTTCATGGTTCTCTCTGCAACAAAAGAAGCATTCCATAATTACAGACAGAATACAAATATTTCCTTATGCAATTTCAGTGATTTCTTACAGGCTCTGTACTATTACACAGCCATTAGTTGGATCAAGGACAAACCTTAACACATGCACTAGACAGAAACAGACCTTTTAAAACTAAATACTGGCATTTAACAATTGCTCTGACTCCATTAACATTGCAGTTCCTTCTACAAGATTATTAACAGACACGGTCCAACTTCAATGCATTTAACTATAAATTACCAGCCCAAATTATGGATAATAAGAAGTAGTCTCCCGAAGGAACAGAGTCAAGGTATGCCATCAGGACGTGCATAACTACCAATTATTCCATTAGTGAATTATTTTTTTTTTCCAGTTCAGTTTCAGCACCAGCACAAGAAATTCTAATTTCTTTCTGAATTTATTACCATTCCCTGCAGAAGAGCCTTAGGTCTGTTCAGCTAAGATGGTTCTTTTTCAGGCATATGCTGACTTGACTTGAAACACCCCTCTGACTCGATGGAAGCAAGACCCAAAGGCACTAATGATACAGGAGCATCCTTTAAAGCACTTGCTAACTTAAAAATAGCTTTTTCACTCTCTGCACAGTGACTACATTATACATGTGATTCTCCATCTTAAAAGCTCTTTTTAACATCTCTAGGAATGTCATGAAGTAATCCATACTGGATAAAGCTAATGCTCTTTTTCTGCTTTTTAACCTATGGAAAAGTGTTTCTTTTTCACTTTTAAAGCATCTTACAATCTAGCAGAGACCTTTAAAACAGAGCCCAAATACTGTCATTTTCAAAAATGCAACTACTAGCCACTGCCAGTCCTGTGGTACACTTAAGTATTGACTAAGTACTGGTAAATAATTATATTATAAATGCATATATAGCAAGATACAGGCTGGCTTATACCTGTTTTCTATTTTGAATTCAAGATGTGTGTACACACATGTATGGATAAAATAGATGTGCCAGCCTGCATCTTACATTATGGGCACACAGACCTGCAGAGAGAACATGTGGAGAGTTTGGAAGAATCTACTGGCAAATACTGCATAAGAAGGGACAAATAAAAATGGTTAGAATGAAGCCAGTTAAACACCATGGAAGATCACTAAAAGCGGTGTGCTCCAAACTGGCAGAAGTTATCTGGGTGTTCATCTGCAGAAAGACAGCACTGCATCAGCTCTTCTCATTTGTCACAGTCACGCTGACGATGCCAGCAGCTGGATGTTTTTGTGAGGCTGACACCACACCAATGGATCTCTTAGAGGGGGGGAAATGATTCTATTTCGTGCCCAACTCTGCATCAGAGCACATCTATGGAGACATTCAGGCAGCCCAAATTTAACTGGAATCTGTGCTCTAACTTGCCCTGCACTTACCTTGCTATACTGCTGATGGCACTGCTAGGAGTTACCTTTGGCACTCTGTCCATACTGGCAGCAACTGTGGCAAGTTTTAAGGCTGTTGGCGATGGTGCTGAAGTCCTTGTATTAATATGCACATTGACTGGAGAAACAACACTGACATTGTTGAGGTGCACTGCGTTAGTCAGGCAAGAATTGTTCATGGGAAGTGTTTGAGGGCTGCTCGTGCACAACGCTGGAATTAAGTGGTTTGTGGTGGTGTGGCCAACTGTCCTTACAAGCTGTACAGCTGAAATCCCTGGGCTGGATGATAAAGCCATGTTGGTGGAGTACAACGTTCTAGAGGTTCCTGTTGCAAAGCAGATGTTATTAATTAAAAACGTGCCGTTTAGATTTGAAGGCAAAAGATTAAATCAATAGTAATGATTTAAGTGTATGAGGCACTGGAACCATCCCTGTGTTACCTGCTTTGAAGATTCAAACAAATGAAAAGTTTTAGAAATGTTTCCAGTCAAACTTAGGGATATTTTAAGTGCTTTTCTTTGTTTGCTTAATTCACAAAGACATCACAAGGTGGAACAGATTGCATTTTGTATTTTCCAACTTTATGCGTCTCAATTTAGGTGCCTTAAATTAAAGTGCAACATTTCCTATAAAAGTACATCCAATGGGGCACAGCTTAGGCAGGCAACTGCAGAGAATGAGCGAGAAGCCAAGTTCTGATGTTCTGAATTGCCTCCTCCCTCATCTGACTGGCAACACCACGAGGTGCTGGGGACCAGCCTCCCTCAAGGCAAGAGAGTGAGGGGTACAGGAGCCCTTTCCAGCTTACAGAGCAGTGCTGTCTGTACTCAAATGGTGGGAAAACTTTAGGTTCAAGTCCCAGCTAAAATGAAGCACAGCACATACTCAAACCAGTGGCTCTCAGGATTCCTCTTCGTAGTCACTGACATAGTTTTAAGAAAATTAGAACTAAGAACATTATTCCCTATTCCTGCAAAAAGCTGTTTTTACTTCGTATGTTCTAATTTAAATCTCCCTATCTGAAGCTGGAATGGCTATTTTACATCACTGACATTTACAGCTTTGGAACAGTAACACAGACCTAATTTTATATGCATATTTGCAATATTTTTCATCAACTGTAAATCTACTGCTGATACATGGTACACACATACGCCTGATCCTGTATCCCTCAAAACATTACACTCTCAGAATTCAGCAAGTTACACACAGTTGCCTTTTTCTTTACTGGATCAGTTCCAGTATATTGATTTTATTCAGCTGTGTTGAGCTGTTTCTCCCTCCCCCCCTTACTTTTTTATTAATTATTTCATCATTAACCCAGCCTAGCAAAAGGTCTATAAAACTAATCACATCATTAGCTGTTAAAACAACAAATTACTGTAAAAGCCTTCTACTAGTTATGACAGCCAAATTTCAAACACCATTTCTCTTAGTATCATAGCAACTGCACCAACGTGACTGGCATTGTTTCTGAACCTCCCTGGCAGGGGGCAGCAGAGGCTGGGAGCAAGGCAGTGAATGCCTACTTATGTTGTGCCTGAATCTGGGAGGAATGCTAAGAGTTATGAAACCTGGAACTTATAGTAACATCAGAGGAGTTACTAGAAGTAGTTAATAAGCACAGTTTTGTTTGAATAAGCAAGTGAGATAATGATTGAAAAGCACTGCAAATTTTCTGCATTCTTCTTCAAGTACTTGATTTTTTAAGCCATTGGTGCCCTTCTTAAATTTCACATTCAGTCTCTTTATAAAATGCTATCAATTATCCCTTTGATTATGAAAGATTAACAGAGGAAAAAGCCTACAAGAGAAAATGAAGAATGTTCTTCCAGGGGTCGAAGAGCACTGACAGTTTTTATTACCAAACTGATGCGCATGACATGGCACAAAAATACCTAACATTAAGACTTAAAACCTTCAGTAGTAGTAAAATATACTGAAATTTTGGAGATGGAACAGGATCATTTGGCACATTCTCTGCTCTGCACAAGACCATAAGTTTTAAGAAATCATCACCTGAAGGCTGGACAACACCATTAATGTTGTTGTGGCTGGGGGTTTGTTCCTTCGTTGCCTCACTGCGACCAGGAGCAGGTGCACTGACCACTGCAGATGCAGCAAAGTGGGCACTGGCTGAATCAAGTGTTTTTGACATGCAGTCAGAGGTGCTGGAGCCCTGGGGGAATAAAAAAGTATTTTTTATTTCTTTATAATCATCCAAGTACAAAGTGAAGAACTACATTTGTTAATGTGTTTGAGAAGTTTCCTCTAGGATGATTACTATGGCTGTAAGCTGTCTCCTCTGTCTCTGCATAGAAAATACACACTAACCTAAATCTACAGAACTCTCAGCATTCACAGCACATTCATTCCCATGGAGTAATTCATACCACAGCATAATCACCTACTGAATTTTGGATGTAAAAACACTCTCACACTTCAGCCTGGAGAAAAGAAGGCTGCTGGGTGACCTCACTGCAGCCTTCCAGCACCTACAGGGAGCCTATAAAAAGTAGGGGAGTCAACTCTTCTAAAGGGTAGATAACAGCAGGACAAGGGGAAATGGTTTTAAGCTGAAGGAGGGAACATTCAGATTGGATGTCAGGGGAAGTTCTTTCCCATGAGAGTAGCGAGGTGCTGGAACAGCTGCCCAGAGAGGCTGTGATGCCCCGTCCATCCCTGGAGGTGTTCAAGGCCACGTTGGATGGGGCCCTGGGCAGCCTGGGCTGCTGTGAAATGTGGAGGTTGGTGGCCCTGCATGTGGAGGGGGGTTGGAGATTCATGATCCTTGAGTTTCCTTCCAACCTGGGCCATTCTGTGATTCTGTATCACTCTATCATTCTGCATATTTTTTTATTAAGTCCTTTCCAAAGATGGGAGAGGTAAACAGCACTGGAAACTAGATACAAAATGCTTAAAAAATACCTAGACATCAGCTTTCAGATTTTCTTTATCAGACAACTAAGCTCAACAGAAAACAAATGTTCATCCCTTGCAAGGATTTACAGATGAAAAATGTTTAGAATTCAGTAGTGTGGAGAACCTGGGGGAAGTGGAGGGACTGGAAAAATCAAGTTAGATACATGAAACTAACATTTTCCTCTTAGAAGTGATGAGTTTTTAGTACTCTCTTGACTTCTGTTCATAACAATGCATTATTACATGAAGTGGTTTTGCTATGAAGTCTCTCTGGAGCACTTCTATACACACAGACACACACTAAGATAAATCCCATGACAATTTGTATCACTTGACAGGGCACTGGCTATTTTTACATGGACACAATTAACGCATTAAAACATGAAGTCTCTTACTCAACTTCTAAAACAAAGTCATGATACGTTACTAAAACAAAATAAAACCACACACCAAGCAAACACTGGAGGTTTGGGTGTTGAAACTTAAAACATTAGCTGATTCAAAGACAGAAGAAACATGAAAGGTATGTGCACTAGCTACAGCATAAATTATCTTCTGAGCACTATCAAGCAAACTGGGAAAGCGCTTTGACCAAAACCCATTCTACATTCATTCCAAAACTTTATGTATTTATCAGATTGTGGAGGCATTCAAGGCCAGGCTGGATGTGGCTCTGGGCAGCCTGGGCTGCTGGTTGGCAACATAGCAGGGGGTTGGAACTAAATGGTCATTGTAGTCCTTTTCAACCCAGGCCATTCTATGATTCTGTGATGTTTAGCTTATAACAGATAAAAATGGCAGTAAGCAAAAAGGAAGACAGGAACATATGACAATGTCAGGTACAGTACCTGTGCTTTTGGATGTGTCTGTTGTGAGGAATGCTGAGATTGTTGTTTCTGTTGAAGCTGGGCAAGTTGTTGCCTCTGCATTTGAACTAACTGCTGTTGATGTGTCTGAAATTGTTCTTCTGTGATACCCCCTGTTACTACAGAAAAAAGAAAGGGAAGCCAGCGTTAAATGGGCCTGCACAGAACAACCACACCTCAGATGCAAGAATAGGCCAGTGCTGGGTAACAAGTGGGTGAAAACATCTACTGTGCCAGATGCTTGCAAAGATCTTCATACATTGCTACACAACAGAGAGGCCAGGCTAAATTTGTTCGCTGTGTTCTTTTAACATTGACTGAATTCATATAACAAAAGGATTCATAGCTTCCACAGTTTTTAAGCAACTTCTATCCTTGGGAGTTTTCTCTCCAATACCTTTAAGCAAAAGCTTATAGAGTTTTTTTTTTCCTTTTTTTTTTCCTGGAAATCAGGAAAAGAACACCCTAAAAATCACAGCTGAGGAAGATGCGCACTGGGCTTGGCTGGATGTCTGCTCTCACAGTGAACACTTCCAGGTCATTACTTTAAAACTTCCCCTCCTTCAGGGCATAAACGCTGCCTTCTTTTCTGACACCAGAACATACTATGCAAAGGAAGCCTATGCCTAACACTTGAGCACACTTATGTCAGCAGTGAAAAGAGGTGTTCTGCAGCTGCTAGTGTAAGTGGGTCACATGTATACATAGCTGGAATCCAGCCCTACACCAATCCTTACTTGAAAGATTCAGAAACTAACACACAATAACAAAGCTGATCTCTGTGTCACAAATGTTACGAGGTATCACAAATCACTGTTTATATTCATTTAGTATGACCTTCTAATTTCACACTTTTCTCCCCCTGAAGTAAATGCTGACCTGAACAAGACTTTCTCTATCAATCTGTTTTTCCTTTTAAAAGAGATGCTGAGTAACATAATGGCTTTGATCACTCATGAGAACTTGGTTAACACAACCTCAGTAGTATCACACTCCCAACAAGTAAGTATGGGAATGATGGAGTCAAGAAAAGCAGTTTTCAACATTCCTCCCCAACTCAAGAACTGCAAATATGATAAAGTCAAAATACCAGCAGGTGTTCAGCGCTAAACCTGAGTTTTGTGGAGTCAAAGCAGCTCTGGAACTAAGTTCTCCCAGGAGCAAGTACAAAGAGAATTCACTTTTCAAAGATTCCCATTAACTACATTTCAGCATTCTGAACTACATACTTTGAAGACCAAAGCTGTCATCCATCTCCAACACCTGGACGCTGCACGAATATCATTCATCTCACTGAGAGACAGTGAGACAACAGTAACATTGAATTGAGCTGTCTTTCATAGCCTGACTCTTCTGTTCCCTAGCTGTAGTACTCACCCTTGTGCTGAAATTCTGAATAAGAGCCAAAATGCAGACTGACTGTAGAGGAATTACATGGGAAATTACTTCTTTAGTGCTTCACCATTAACACAAGCATCAAACAAGCTGAAGAGCACTTAAAAGGTTCAGTGACTTACATTATTCACCCTATTAGATTCTTGGGATTTTATCATTATTTTCAACATATTCTGAAGAAATCAAGCTTTCCTCCCCAGTTAGCCATACTTAGATCCCCTCAAAGACTCTTCCCTCTTACTACAAGCTCTGAACTCAAAGTTCAGTCAGCTAAACCTGTTAAGCTTCCTCACAACAGCCTCCCAAAATGCGTTTCGTTACTAAAGGCAACAGAGCCAAGAACAGCATTATGGAACATTACGTATGTATGCAATTCTATTTTTAAGTTCTGAGGCACCAAATTCCATAATGCCTTCTGTTGTGTTCAAGAACAAGCCAGTTTCATGCAGATAAACACCTCAAATGCATTTACCCCTAATTAGCTATTCCCTGTCTGCAGTACAGGGGCATTTATCTTGACTCCAAGTTGCTGAGTCAAACTGACCACCACCCAGTTTAGGGCTGGCCTACACCTTACATGCTCTCTCTCTCCCCTCCCAGTTTAACACAGGCCAGGAAGCCACAGAACACAGGGCTGATCAGCACAGCAGCATCCTAATTGTTTCTGCATTCATACTTGTCAGCTCCAGCCAGGCCAGTACCTATCAGCAGGGATTTACTCGGTCACAATAAGCTCTGCTGTTAACCTTATGAAGAAAGCAGACACTCATTAGCACATCTACCACCATTTCATTTTGCCAAATTAAACAACTGAAGGCTCCTAAAGACAAACCCAACTTCTACAAAACTCCAAGGCAGCCTTTAAGGTCACAGCCAAGTGCAAGAGTTCTGTACTTTTCATTAAAGCTTCTATTGACCAGTATTTCAGTTTGCACTGCTAAATATTGGGATTTCTATTTAACCACAGTCTGCCTACATTGAAACACTACAAAATACTACAAAAAGTCTACATGAGAGTCTTTTGCTTTCCATCCCTAGACACCTTTGGCCTAGATTATGATGTCACTGCTCTTAGGAGCTTTAATCAAAGATCATCATTCAGGCTGCCCCACCAGAACAGTTCCTCATTAATCTAATTACTTCTACGTGATATTTTAGTCTCAACAGGATACCTCTAAAAAGTAAACGCCTGCTCCACGTGTAGAATTCTGTACCTCAGAATGCCACCATCTCCACTTGTCTTCTGTATCTATGGACACAGTAGCTTAGCAGCCAGCTGTCTGAGTGGCTCCCAGGCACTGGCAGCTGACGCAGAGCGCTCTGGCAAATTGCTGAAGATTTTGCCTACAGCCTAATTCTCACTTCGGTTCCACAAGCAAGACAAGTTGCAGTCTAGGAATTCAGCCAGCCAGCCAAGCACTACTTTGCCAAAGTAAGTTGTACCATCGACAAGTTCCTCGCAACCTCCTTCATACACTGCTTATCCTCATCATCAGCTTCTCTCATTTGTTAAACAGAATCCTTCCAGAGCTGGCTTTGGCAAAGAGACCACGTTTGCTTCCCAGGTGCAGCAGGTAAGCCTGCTGAAAGTTTACACAACTGATCAAAGTGATAAGATTGTTGTAGGGACCTTGTCTCCTTATTAGAGCACAAGCAGGAGAAAAATTCAGCTTGGAACAGAGGTTCTTTATTCACACAATGATTAGGCACCTTTATGACAAAACCAGTCATGCACTTAAGTCTTTGCTTCTGTTTGCACAATGCTTAGCATTGGGGAAGTAGTGTAACAATTGTTTCAGCGAGACAGAAGTAAAAATATAAACTTTAAATACAAATAACCAAAGCGAGCATCTCCAACTCTTCTCTAAACTAAAAAAAAGAACCTGAACAACAAAACTGATCATTCAGTTTAACTGTCATTTTTTCTTCCAGAGATTCTTTTACGCTCAAAGGTAAATCTGTAATAAAATTCATCTCTACAACCACCTCCCAAAAAGATCTGCCTTGATGGATATGGCACCTATGTCCATTTAATGCACAACCACTTTTTGACTCATCCTTCAAAAATTCTCCCATTACTTACTATGTAGCAAATGCAAAACAGCAGTGCCTCTTCTTGGCTCAGTTACACAGTGAACAATTTTGTTGCTTTATTGCACCCGATTCTTTCATAGAACTACAGGATCTGCTTTGTAGTCTGAATACGGAAACAAAAGGGTCTTCCCAACCCAAACATTTCCCTATGCAGTGCACTCCAACTGCTGAGTAATCTCTGCTCACATCTGAACAGTCTTCAGACAGATCATCAGGATTATACAAAATAAATTACTGTTCCTCCACAAAGTAGCCTAGAGCCATCACATATTATACAAGTACTTCTCTACAGTCTCTACCATCACTACAATGTCTATTTTTTTTTTAAGCTCCAGAAGCTCAAATCCTAAAGCACGAGCTCTCACTGATTCACCACATAACATCAACATCTTAGTGCTTTAGGCCTACTGAATTGGTTAACACTCAACAAGAGCCAACCCTTTTCCCCCCACCCATGCATGGCTTCCTACCAAAACAGAAAGATCCTCCCTGTCAGGCCCTTCACTGCTCCAATTTTCATTCATACCTACAGTATGGATATTTCACAATCTCTCCAACCTTTTTCTTTCACTCAGACATATCAGCTTCTACCTCAAAATACTCTCCTAGTGTAAGTGGACTCCATCCTCAGCAAAAAAGTCTCTCCAGAGCAGCATTTAAAGCCTCAACGTTTTGCACCTCATCCTTAGATAATCTATTGATACTTACATTATCATGAGAAATTCTACAGAAACACCAACTCTGCATGTATCTTTTTAAGCAACTAGCCTTACCTTGCTGTCACCATACTTCTTCATTAAATAGAAACCCTGCAGTACTACTTGATCATTATACAAAGAGCTACCAGCAAATTCTTTGCTGGTCCATCCTAGCATACTGTCCACGTTCCACATGCTTAACTCTGACAAACACCATTCATTTCTGTTGTCTGCATTTGCTTTCACACAGCCTTTCTTAATTCTTATCAATAATCCCAGCACACAGAACCACCCCCTTTCTGTTACAGGTGCAATTCTCCAGTCTTTCAAGCTCTTTACAAACAAAAATTATACAAGATATGATCATGACACACTGTCTATTCTCTTCATACAGCAGAAAAAAAAATAATTCTTGTGCAAATCTCTTCACAGGAGAGCACAACAGAAAAGTTGCAATGACTAGAAAAGTTGCAGCAGCTGACTTTAAAAGAGATGGGCCCCTTCCATATCCACTTGATGTTAATTATGGGATTTAGAAGCAGCCTGTCGTGTCACCCAGTTATCTTCTTTTACAATACTAAGTTCTGCATGCACACAATAGAGTGGGAAAACACTCAAATGCTTGTTGTGCTTGCTAAGAGATCTCTTCTGGCACATCTCCAACCGTCCAGCATTTTGAAGAATCATATATTCTTTCAGCAGTGCCAGTTTTAACATTGTCACTTGTTATAAATAAATCACTTGCTACATGTATTAGTTGTATTTGAGACTGCTAATACAAACTTAAAGCAATTTTTTGCTTCTGGTTGTTTTTATTCCAAGTTAAGTGATCCTGTATCCAAATCAGTGACAAAGGGTGTACAAAGATGAGAATAGTGTTGCATGTATTTGATAGTCTTGTGAAGATTCTACTTTTTTTTTTTTTCCTTAAAGCATACATGAATTGCCACCTTGCTCATCTGGAGCTGTAAGGTCACAAAACTGAATGGTAAGAGACAGCTGCATTAAGGGTGCGAGTTAGACATCAACCTTAAAGGATGAGGAAATCCCCCATCACTCTTCATCTGTGCCTGTTGATTTTCTGATAATCAGCACAGCAAGGTGTATCACTGTTACAGTAAAAACTGCAACACTGGAAGCCTCCAGGTGTCAACTCAAAACACGGTTTTGTACCTTCTTCATTTCTGCTCCGAGACTTTACTGATTCACTACTGGTTTCTGGAGATGGCTTAGCAAGATTTAGAGAACTCCAAAAATATCTCCCTGTCTCCACTGTTTCCCACCCACTCTGATACCCTCAATAATACAATGGCTTCTCTTCTACATTCATAAAGAGCATTATTCACTCCTTAAACGAGGTGTGATAAATTTCATGTAGGCAATGCTGACATACAAACAGAATCCCTCCTTCACATCTGGCATGTTTAAGTCCAGCACTTTACCATGATTCTATCTAAACTGCAATTAAAGCAGGAGGAAGAGAACTTAAGAAAAGCCCTAAGAAATATAAAACAGTTACCCTGTATCACTGGGTTTAGTTACACATCATTAGTTAAGGTGGTATCAGCCCAGTTCCAAGAAAAAAAGCACCATAACTTCGTATTTTATGTTCTATAAGAATTTAAATCCTTCTGCCTACCTGATATGCCGTTCTTGCTGGTGTTCAATAAAGCTACAGATGCTGCAGAAACTCTTTTATTATTCACAGTCTGCCCTGGTTTCCTTGAGGTACATTCTTCACTATCGCTGTCCTGTAGATTTAGTAGCCTTGGCTGAAAACACTGCAGTCGACATGATCTGATATTGCTTAGTATTTCAGAAAGGGACAGTCTGTTTTCACAACGTTTATTGGAAGCATTGGTCCGTGAAAAATTAGAAGAAAAGTCTAAGGTCTGGGAAGAGCTTGAAAAACTATTCAGCATTTCCGGGTCAATCTGTCTCAAGACAGGATCATGTTCTGTGGATATTCGGTCCATTATAACCCTGATTTAAAAAGATGGAAAAAAAAATGTTAATTATGTTTCTTATATATGTGCTTTCGTACTTTGAAGGGAAACAAAGGGTAAAAATAAAGCAATCCTACCTTCCACCCCTGCCAACTCGTCTTCTTGCAAATCCTATACACCTTCTTGGAATTGTAAGGGTTGTAAGGCAATGCCTGAACCTCAGTTTGTCCAATTCCGCATTTTCATATGAAGAATTAGTTTGGTCCAAACGAGGCTGCAAAGAATAAAGGAAAGTCCATTTGCACATTCCTGAAAATACAAAGTAGTCTGTGGTGTTCTCTACGTGATCACAATAGCAAGACACCTGCATGGCAGGAACAGAAGCAGATGCCAGCACACATCTGAGTTGTGCAAAGAACTTACAGCACAACTTGTGGGAGATGCCCATGCTCTGAGTACTCAGGGAGACTGTTTAGGCTTCTGGAGCAGACAACCTAGCAACTAAGTTCCTCTCCAGTGAGTTATAGGCAGCCTTAAAGACTACACAGTTACAAAACTTATTTTGCCATGCAACTTCACTTCTCTGGTGGGAAGTGAGCAAAGCAAAACCAGACCCAGTGCATTACATTGTTTCTGTTGGTCCTCCACAGATAACAGCTTCCCATCCACAAATCCATACTCAGTATGAAGTTTCACTATCAGTGGTTCTGAGAAGACGATGGAATGTTTAATCAGACTTTCTCCTCTGCTCACTGCTACAATTGCAGTGTAACATTCTTCCAACATATCCACAGCTTGCAATAATTCAAAAGAAAGATTTAACTACACAAAAAAAATCCTTAACAGGTTAAATCTCTTTGCTTTTACAACCAGCTCCAAACAATGCCCACATCTGAGAACTAAAACAAGTAGCAACCCATGAGCTTTATAAGCTGGGAACAAAGGATGCGATAGGAAAACCAAGGGGAATGCATGGAGGGGGTGGAGTCCTCCCATTCAAACAGTGGCTGAATTAGGCTGCCGTGCTTTGTATTGCCTTTAGGAAGTCAGAGGAACAGGTCAAGGAGAAATATTCTTATAGAAAAACTCAAAGATTTTCTTTGGAGCCACCAAATCATCATGGTTTTCATAATGAAAGTGGGACTAGAAGAACTATTCCATTATCAATAGGCCAATGAAACCAAAAACAGAACACCCAAACACACTAAATGCAACAGCAGATAGCCTTACAGCATAATACTGGCATCCTGCTCTTCTCCTGAAGGCACAAGGTCCATCAGGATCATTTTCCTCTTCTGCTTCTGATACTGGTGAGGGTACCTAAGCCAAAAAGCAAAGTTACTCTTTCAACCGCCATGTGTATATAATACAGATACTAAAACATACAATTAATATATAGTAATCAATTGACTGATATGGTAAAAATGTATTTTTGTACTAGTTAGCATTTCATATATTTTATAAATACTGCTTTACATAATAGAAAGTTCTCCAAAACACAGTTTGGAAGACGAAACAAACTCAAGCAGCTTCTGCAAACATCTTGCATGCAGACCAACTGCCCAACACAGTTATTCTCCACTTCAAGCTATACTGTCCACATTCCAGATAGCTGAGTTCTCCATTTTCAGTAGGCTAAAAGAAATCATAACAGACTGTTACCTGTGGGAACTCATCCTCATCTGAGCTGTGGAAGTCATACTGCTTGATATCACTCTTGTTGATAACAGGCAAGGGCTCAGCAGAGGGCTGTTGAGCAGTCACCACACACTCCATTTTCGGTTTCTTCAGATATTTCTTCTTCTGACGTACAACATCTGATATCTCTTCCTTTAGAGATGAATGATGAGGATGCTGTTCGTCAAAAACAGAAAGGGATCCAATAAATAAAAGCACGTACTTGATGTTGTTTCTTCACCCCATGCCTTAGAAAAACATGGCTGCTCATCTTCCGGAGCCTCTGGCCACTGGTGCAGCACGTTGAAAATTCAGATACAACGTAACATTTATTCTAAACATCTGAAAACCTCAAAACTTTACTTCAATCACCTTTACAGAAGCTTATTAGTAAACTGAAAGCTTTCATGCTATGTGACTACAGTAAAGGGTTCCTTTCTTTTCATCACCCTCAGGATACTGCAATTGGAAAGTCTGCTCCAATTACTTTCTCAGGCCTCAGTTTTCTATGCCAAGAAACTACAGCTTTCTTAATTGCTCAAATCTGTTCACAAAAAACACTTTATGTTTTCCAGCTCTCACATGGCTTATGTTTCTTGTAAGACTTCATGCTACTAGCTTTTGCCATGTTTTCATTTAATTTCTAAGATTTTGCTAACATAAATCCTCTCCAGCAAGCAGTAAGCAACTGCAGCAATATTAAACTGTTATTTGAACACAAATGTTTTACAACTTCAAAGCTCTCCAATTAAAAATTACTTTCCCTTCCAAAATTTTCAATTAATGAGTAAAAGCCAGAGAAGTTCTCTGAGAAGCTCTTTAATTTTCCCCCAAATTACCACTTGTCAGTAGCTGTCTGACTGAAACTAACTCCAGTTCAGCTTCATAAACCAGAGATGAGAAACAGCAGGCACAATTCCCAGCAGAGAAGTGAAGGCAGGGATCTGTACCACATTTAGTGACCACTGGGTGTCGCAGCTGCTAAATACAAACTCCAAAAAGGATTCAAACTCCCCAGCTTTACAGATGAGAATTTTTTTGCACTTAAACAATTCCCAACAGCTCCTAGAATCCTCTAGCATTCTTGCTGTAAATCAGCAATCCGACTGCCTTTGAACTGAGGACTAACCAATACTCATGGACAACACTGCAGGAAAAATGCAGTGCTCTAATCTTTTGTCAATGGAAAAAAAAAGTAATTCACTGTTTGCCATCTCAATGTTGTCCCTTCACACACTAACAGCACTGGTACTCTCGCATCACCTTATAATGGAAGGGAGAAAAAAAATGCGAGAAGAAAAATGAAAGCTAACACAAAGCTGTTGTTTGGTGGATGATGGCCAATTCTTTTAAAACTTAGGGGAGAAAAAAGCTAAATGTTAAACACAGCAAGCGTATCAATCTGCTAGGCAGTTTTCTAATGCAAACACCTGCAGGGTACAGGAAACAGGAGACTTGAAGCAGAAGGAAGATTACCTTAATTTTACATTCTTGAACTTTGTGATGATTTCCATTATGAAGAGTGGATGCAGTTGTGCTCATTTCCTTTTCAGGTCTGTTAAGCTTCACTTCATTGAGAATTTCACCTCCATAATCACCCAAATGGTATCTTAAAAAAAGTAATAATAATTAAAATATAATAGTGAATTTCCACTGGCAAAACATCAGAGCGACAAGGAACAGGTTTTCATGCAGCCTCTTCGCCTTTCTGTTTTAGCTTCTCAAGTCTACATAAGCAATATTTGCCTTCAGCCATGCATGTGTGCAGAAGACAAGCATCCATACAGGAATAAATCACGGGAGCTGTTTTCAAACCTATTTAATGAAAAGTAAAATCTTAGAGTTCTAAGTGACATCATTTGCAAGCCTACCTTTTCTCTACAACTTCCAACGTTAAATGCAATAACTCGCGTTTTGTCTTCTCTCTCCTCTTAATCATCTCCAAAATTGTTATGGCTCTGCTAAACTCTCTTCTTAATTTCAGCATCTTCTCATAAGATGCTTCATCGTTCTTTCGATTCTGTTGAAAGATTAAGCAAATTTTATGTCAAAAGCAAAACCCATTGGGCATAACTGGCACCAGTCCAGCAAAAAAAAAAAGTTACATAATACTGCTCAGAGTGAGAGCCAATGAGATCAGGATGAACTTCTCAAAAAGCCCAATCTAGTTGGGATAGACAGCACAAAGAGCAAAAGAAAATCTTTTCAGTTGAAAAGGCACTCTTCAGTCATTTTCACCACGTTTTCTCTCTCTCAGATTGCATCCCAGCCCAGAGGCAGCTCGTCAAAAGAAGGAATTCAGGACTTTGTGCCTCTGTGTTAAAGGTTTTCTTTAACCCTGTTTCTGCACACGATAAGGTTGCGTGCATCTACATACACGTTTGTCATTATTCTGCATTCTATATCAGATCTCATTGATAATGCTAGAAATACAAAACCTGAATCGTTTACCAGATGGTAAATAGAAGAGTTTCCCCTTCTTTCACCAAAGCAACATGTGAGCCTATAAATTACCCTTGGACTTCCAGCCTTCCAGGAAATTGTCACATTGTAGATAGACACAGAAAATTAACATGTTACAAACTGACTACGTCATTTAGCAGATTTGAAACTGAGGTGGGTCCTCCAATATTGCAACTACTGATACAAACAACTGTATCAATAACTGCAGATAGCATCGCACTGATTCTGCCGTCTGCTAGAAAGAAATCAAATCAAAATGGTTCCTAGCTATATAGGATTGAAAATGGCAAGTTACCTTTCTTGTCTGCATCTTCTCAGTCCTCCTCCGAAAGGCAACATAAGGGTCGTTGTTGGTGGAGCCATCCCTCTTCTCCTGTTTGATTTGGGGGATGAGGGACGGCCCTCTGCAATTCTTACGCTTTCTTACCCAGTAGTCATATACAGCCTTAATAAGGTAGTCATCCTCATTTAGCAGCAATTTAGCTTCCTGAAGTGTAACGAGCTGAAAGGAAAATGTGAAGGGCTTGAGATGGGGTAAAGCAAGGAGAAAGTCACCGCACATTCAAATGCCTTGCACACTTCCTAAATAAACTTGATCCTTTTCTAGCACAAGGGAGAAGAGTACTCACCTGAATCCAAACAGACTGTCCTAACTTAAACAGTCCCTGATTTTTCTGGATCAGCACCATCAGCTCTCAGAACCCTTTGTACAAGTCTACAACTTTGTCTACTCTTCATGAAAACAATCACTTCTGATATCATTACAAGCACAGGGCGTAAATGACTTACTATCAAATCATAATCTGAAGACTAATCACTGACTTTTTTTTTTCTTTCCCCTAAATAAAGAGGAAAATGCTTACTGGTGAGACATTACTAACATCCGATTGCTTGCAGTTTGATGTTGTATACAATAAAGAACCCTTCAGTGAAATCAAAATATGTTCTAAAGCAAATTGCCACCATTATCTTTTCCCAAAATAATTTTTATTTTGTGATAGAAAAGGACAATGACCTTCCATATTTATCACAACACAGGGATACACAGACACTCATTTCTTACACAAGTTATTTCAGTGGGAGGTAGTTAAAACACAGGTAATTAAATAATTATATTCTTATCATGTGTTCTACTTCTATACTGAAATCATACCTAGTAAATGTAAAAGCCATCACTGAGTAACTAACATATGAGTTTAACACATTCAGATCTTAAACCAACTTATTAAATAAAGAAAATCTCTATTATTACTTAAAAGAAGCCTGACAGAACTTCATCTTCACCATAGTTTGAAGAATACCAAAAATAAACTTGAATTTCAACTTGCAGTTTTGCAAGCAGCATTTCAAATTATGTTAAACCTTGTCTCTACGTTAGGATCATCAGAAAAAGAAACAATACATTTAAGAAAAATAAGGCCATCCTAAGTCTAAACACTGCTTCTATGGAAGTAGTAGCTGCAGCCAGAATAAAACAAAACCCAATTTATAGCAGAAAGAGAACTAAAAAAAAGGACCTGCTCATGGAGGTGGGTGAGGGAAAAGGAGCTTCCTAACCCCCTGTACTTATGACAACATGCAGCGTTACAGCAATCCTGCATCTGTCCTAATGAGAACAGACATCAGCCTGGTTAATCAAACCAGTCTTCGGTTCTTGAATTTAACTTCATTACTCAATCAATCAATAACGAAAGCAACATAAGGAGAAAACATGAAAAGCGTAACCAGCTGCTTTAACTGAAAGCCAGGACAGAGGTATCAACAGCAAAGCTCTACAGGACCCAAGTGCCATGTACTCAACAAGCATCATTCAGTGTATTTGATGATTTTTTCTTCATGTAGTAAAATCTCTTTACCCAACCTTCACTGAGCTCCCCAGAAGAGGCAGAGAACACAAGACCTTGCCTCTTACAATGTAACACCAAACTACATCAGGTTAAGCAACTGTGGCAGAGCTACGGATCCTGCAGTAGATGTTTCACTCCTTCATAATGCCCATCTTGCTGAGAAATAACATTGTTTCAAGCTAACCTATCAGAACCTGGTCCTTCTCATGTAGTTTTTGAGCCATGTTTTGGCTTTGAAGACCCTTCTCCAGACAGTGGTCTCCTGGAACACCTCAAGAACTTAACTACTAAAATATATTAGCCTCCTTGTGATAAAATAATTGGCAATTCATGCTTGCTCCTAGAGCATAGCTTCCTTTCTTACATCACTGCATTTTATACCACAAGGGTCCAATCTCAACAAAGGCTTTGCTTTACTGTCCGTGCTTCTAACCTTCAAACTGAAGACAATGCCCACTGTGCCAAGCAAAAAAAAAAAAAGGATTTGGATTCTGATATGCTCAGATCTGTACACCTACCAACCACTGTCAGCTTCTTTCATGCCAATACAGGTGAAAGCAGATTCTTTCAGTTGTCCCCTTCTAATATATCATGGATGGGAATTAGAATTTAAAACCATCTCCTCCCATTGCCACTGCACACACACACCACACACACCCACTACTCCTCCTATTTTCCTGCTACCAACAGTGACAATAAGTGACAGCAGTGCAATTTCTGTATGCCTGCAGTCACACAAGCATACTTCTCCAGTTAGCAGCACAATTGAAAAATGAATGAGAACTACTGAGCAGAAAACTCACAGGTGAGAATACTTTAGCCATTTCTTAACATAGCAAAATACCTGACTAGAACTGGCTTTTTCAAGTCTGTCAATCATTATTTCAAACTGCAGTGGCTTGATTTCCATCTTCCGATTTAGTCTGTTCAATAAGGTTTCATCCTCAGAGTCCATATCATAATCTGGCTGTTCATTGTCCAGATTAAAGGCTGAAACAAAAACACACAGGCACAAAACAAGTGAATACAGAAGCATGCATTCAATAGTCAGAAATAAAAAACCATCATCAATCAAATTAGCAGATCCCCACCATGACGCTTCTCTCTTTTTGCTACAACTGTGCCCACATGGAAGTATTAAAATAGTATTTAGAAGTTTCTTGTCTTTGTCTTTCTATATAAGGGCAAGTCTCGTTCTCTTTTAATGTGGTTTGAAAGGCAGAAAGAAAATAAAGATTTTCTTACAAAAGCTATCATAGGAGCATACAAATTTTACTGTCTCTTCTTAGTGATATTACAATGCAACTCTTCTACAGTAAGCTCAACAATTAAGATAATTTTTAGTCAAATCTCATACTTTCAGAAAAGTACTTAAGTTCCAATACAATTCATTGCCCATTTTAAAGCAACTCAACTAAATAACATTACTAAAATATTTCATGAAGTAAACTTGTTTCAAATACAACGCTGTGTAAAATCATAGAATGGCTTGGGTTTAAAGGGAATCTCAGATATCATCTAGTCCCAAGTCCCTGCCGTGGCAGGACTGCCAACCACTAGATTAGGTTGCCCAGGAGCCCAGCCAGCCTGGCCTCAAGTGCCTCCATGGATGAGGCACCCACAGCTTCTCTGGGCAGCCTGTGTCAGCACCCCACCACCCTCTGAGTGAAGAACTGTCCCCTAACATCTAACCTAAACCTCCCCTCTTTCAGTTTCAATCCATTCCCCCACATTCTATTGCTATCTACCTGTATAGAAAGTCGGTGCTCCTCCTGCCTGTAAGCTCCTTCCAGGTATTAGAAGGTCACAGTGAGGTCTTCCCACAGCCTTCTGTTCTGCAAGTTAAACAAGCCCAGCTCCCTCAACTTTGCATCACAGGAGAGGTGCTTCAGCCCTCTGATCATCTTCGTGGCCCTCCTCTGGACCTACTGCAAAAGCTCTGCATCCTTTTTGTGCTGGGGACTCCAGCACTCTAGATGGAGCCTCATAAGGCCAGAGTAGAGGGGGGACAATCTCCTCCCTCAACCCACTGCAACTCCCCTTTTGACGCAGCCCAGGATACTGCTGGCCTTCCAGACTGCAAGCACACACTGCTGGTTCGTGCCCCACTTTCCATCCATCTGGACCCCAAAGTCTTTCCCTGTAGAGCTGCTCTCTAGGAGCTCATCTCCCAGTTTGTATTCATACGTAGAATTGCCCCAACCCAAGCGCAACACCCCGCACTTGGCCTTATTGAACCTCTTTAGGTTCTCATAGGCCCACATTTCAAGCCTGTCCAGGTCTCTCTGAATGGCATCCCTTCCTTCTATTGTACTGACTGCACCACTCTACTCTGTATCATCAGCAAACTGCTGAGGGTACACTCAAACCTTACAGTCCAAGTCACTGACAGAGACATGGAAGAGCACAGGGCCCAAGATGGACATCACTTGTTACCAGCCTCCACCTGGACAACAACCCTCCAGCTACAGCCATCCAGCCCATTCTTTATCCACTGAACAGTCCACCCTTCAGATTCATCTCTCTTCAATTTAGAGATAAGAGTATGGTACAGGACCATATCCACAACCTTGCACAAGTCCAGTTAGATGACATTATTCGCCCTTCCTTGGTCCACTGATGCCATCACTCCAGCACGGAAGGCCACCAGATTGGTTGGGCACGATCTGCCCTTGGTGAATGCTAGACAAATTCTGATGGGAAGTCAGGTGTTGCTTTTTCTCCAAAACCAACTTAATTCTAAATACACAGAATCATAGAATTGCTCAGGTTGGAAGAAACCTTAAAGATTATCAAGTCCAACTGCAACCTCACCATACTCCCTAACTCTAACAAATGAGAACACAAATCTTTCTGTATTCTACAAACAGTGTGCTCTCAACCTTACAGCAAGGCTCCTATCTTTATTACAGATCACATATTCACATCCAAACTCTGACAGGTGAAATATTAACCAGAACACTCCAAATAATTCAACCAACAAATAACTGTATTAGCAGCACTGAAGCTTTGTGGCCATACATTCTACGTGTATTAGACAACAAACCAAAGCCCCATCTTATCTCTTTCTTCTTAAGTCACAGCTATATCTCAGCAGCAGCTTTGAGAACTCTGCACCCAAACTCCCTGGTGCAATTTGAGGTGATGCAGGTAACAGCAGAACCATGAGAATAACGCTATAAAATAGCTTCAAGGAAGTCACAGCATTCTGTTTCATATGGTACACAGTCGACTAGTATGCAGTAACACATTCCTTCCACACAGCAGACCAGCCCAAGAGTGCTTCTTCTCTACTCCCATGCAATAACTTAGCCTTAACCACTGCCAGCATGTAAAAGTATTTAGCCTTGCACAAAAGCTGAAGAGGCACTCACACTCAGATACAACATGTCAGAAGTGCCAGGCAGCAATCCCTTACTGTTTTCAGCTGTCAGCTGCTACCTCCCTTCACTGTACTAACTCTGAGTAGCACTTAATCAGAAGACTTCTCTGGCTCAACACATACTGTAAACATGCTCTAAAAATATATTCCAAGAAAATAATATTACTACTACTGCAGTACAATTATGTTTTAATTGGATTATTTGTAGTGTTAATTCAGTGAAGTGGCCATGCAGATGGTACGAAGGCACATTCCACTGTTATTGTGTCGCAATTTTGTCCTGGTCTAGTATTAAATAGGGAGGTTGGTGGTCCTGCCTATGGCAGGGGGGTTGGAGATTCATGATCCTTGATGTCCCTTCCAACCCGGGCCATTCTGGGATTCTACTGGGCATAAGACCCACAGCAGCTCTTCTAAAAAACAAAAGAGAAAAATCAACAGCGGCACATCAGATTGACACTTCTACACTTTGCACTGCTTGCATCCTGCTGCTTCAGTGATGGCTGCAGAAAGCTAAAGTTGAGATAAAAACTAAGAATATTATTTAAAATACACAGCTCTGTAAGACTGTATTTATTTAAAAAAAATAGAAAGGAAATTGCTCCAGTGTGCGGGGTAACAGCCAGTAAATAAGCATCAGCACCCATCCCCAGCTGCTCTTCACTGAGTTCCAGGAGTCCTGCCTAGCAGCTGGTGCTCCCCCTGCCATCAGTGCCCCATACTGCGCTCCACTCTGGACTTTGATGGCCTCAACTTGCTGCTTTCTCCAAAAAGGAAGTTGCAAAAGTTCCCCTGAGCCTACAAAACAAACTCAATCCTAACGTGCAGTGTAAAAATCATATTCAAGCAACCCCACTTAAGAGAGATGGCTCAAGGTTTCCAGAGAGGCTATCTGTGCTTTGGGAGGGCTCTCCAAGCACTACAGCAGGTCTGTGCTCCACAAGCTGTGTTGAAGCAGGTTTCCATGGATGATCTCAGAAGGCCCAGAAACCCATGAGAGCCCAGAAGAGGCACTGTTTGTTCACCCAAAGGCACAAAAACACGCAGCCCATTACCTGTCAGTAGACAAGCCAGTAATTCCTTGTGAACAAAATGGTAAGTCAACTTTTTTTTTTTTTTTTAAAACCAGAGCATCAGTGAACATGGGGAGCATTGTGACAGAGGAGATGCTGCTCACCTGTAAGCTGGGAGCACTGCTTGTAAACCTGCCCTCATTTTCACACTGAGGAAAGAAAGAGTTGCTGGAAATCCCTGAGCCATGCATGTCCCAGTCACCTGGCAGGCATGTTCAGCTCTGGGGAGATGTGAGTGGCTTTCTGCTAAGGGAGGGAGCTGAGCCCATTTGCAGGTGTATCCAGCAAGCAGCAGGACCAGGTGGAGGCACATGGAGCAACCAGAAGTGGAAAAGGAGGAAAATCAGAACCTCCTCCTTTGGCTGTTACACTGGCTCATCAGCTGTGCAACCACTGGTGAAATAACATGTCAAATCCACCTAATTTCACAAATAATTCGCTGATAAAAATCTCGGTACTCATTTCTGAGACTTGATGGATTAAAAAAAAACTAAGCGCTGAAAAACAGGAAATAATAATCATTAAAAAAAACCAACACAAAAGCAAAGCTCTACACCGTAATTTCCACTAAAATATTTTGACATAATCAAAATGACAAGATACAGAAGATAAAAGGTATCCAATATGCACTTGTCAGGAGCACTGAATAAATCTAGTCTCATCTTGCTCCACAGGAAGCATATGGCTAATGTCAAAGCAGCAGCAGCAGCCTGTGCCACACACACCGCTTTCATACGTCCTACCAATACTCTTCTTCATCAGGCAGTGCTCCTCACACTGCTTATCATGACCTGTGCTTACCAACACAGCTCAGCTGAAATGAAAGGGAGGCTACATGGAGGCCACAGGTTAATGATGCGGAGGCAATGGAAATAACAACTGCATTCCAACAGAATGCATGATTATCACTCTTCAGCTGCTACATGCAATCACAAGGAGTTAATTAACCCCCAGCTAGCTTGCTACAGCTCTGGGATGCTCACCGAAGCCCCCTCTCTCCCTGAAGTTTGCCCACTGCTGCTCTTTCAAACACACTTAGTGACATCCTTACTCCTCATTTTTGTTTTTTCTGAGCACAGAGCACACTGCATTGGTTCCAGGAAAAGCCAGTTTCCATCCTGGAGCTGCCCTCAATACACAGGTGTTGTCAGCTGCCCAATGTGGTCACTCACCACTCTGCATTTCTGCACCTACCATAGCAACAGATGCAGCTGCTCATTAATGCCTACAGAAGTTTGTGGACAACTAGCCTCAGTCTCAGCAAACATAGTATTTCAGACACCCTGCTAGTGGCTAGCATTTTAGAACCAACCAATGTGACAGTTCACAGTTGCAAGCCAACTTTCTACAGCCCTTTTTCCTGGTAGTTCTTGAGAGATTCTTGTGGCTGAGAAATGAATGTTGTTTCCCTACTCCAAAGCATCTGTCCCTCCCCACACCGCATGTTTATACACTGCGCTGAAGAAAAGGGCCTCCATGATCCTATCACTAAGCCTCACCTCAAATAAGCATTCAGAACTTGTTGGCTTGCTAATTGCTGTTGCAAAACTACCATCCTAGTTTACACCCTTTGCCACTGCAACCACTCCTGATGACAGAAACTTTCACAGAGGGATTGGCTTTTATTTACTTTAGCTCCTCTACATATTAAGTTCATATTAAACTATGGAAATGCAATTTGTTTAGAAGTTAAATTACATAAAATAGGGTTCAGTGTAGCTGAATTATCTTATTTAGTTTACTTAAGAAAATTAAGGCTGTGGTTCAGCAGTCATTAAGCTGACCTAGGTGTGAGTTACAACTAAACCAAGCTCTTCCACCAGCTTTCCTCCCCAGCAGCCATGAGTTCTTTCACATTCCTTGCACCAACCTCAGCAACCACACGCTGAGCCAAGCCAGAGAAACGAGAAACCCACAGTCCACCTAACCAAAGCAAACTGAAGATAAGCCTACTGCCAGATCTGCTCCTGGGCTGCTCCCCCAGAGCACAGCTGCTTCGAGGAGGCTGCTGGCATTACGAACCAAAGAGCAGCACTGATCCTGTTGGCAGCAAACACATCTGTGCTGACCAAATGCAAATGAAGAACCACATCATGGTAATTATATCCAAAGCAGTTAACAAACCAGCAAACCACCACCTCAATAGCAGGTCTGTCTGTAACACTGGAATGAACCAGAGCTTCCAGTGCTCCCCACCTGCAACACACACCTCCGCAGGCAGTACCATGCAAATACCCACTTTACATGTTGGCCTGCAGCCCCCAAAATGTGGAATGTGTAATTAGTTTTTTAAAAAAGCAACTCTAAACTATGAGAAATACACACTTTGTTAATTTTAATTTTTTATTTTAACAGAGTAACTAGGCTGCATCTCATACAACATAACAAAGAGTATTCAAAACTGCATTTGAAAAGATCCGGCTACATTACCTACAATAAAGCATTAGATGGTTATCATTACTCTTTTTACAAAAGCAACTTACATGCAATAGTATCAGCTGCAGGACCCCTTCTGGGTTGTTTTTTTATTGTTGGGAGTGGGTATTTTTTGTGTATGTCTATGTGTGTCAGCAAGAAACAAACTTTCCTCTAGTCTGAACTAGTGGTACACATAAAAGAATTATTCTAGTAAAGATTAACATCCTCATCTATAAGATGAGCTGCAAAATTATTTAAGGTTATTCATAATTTCTTAGTAATAACTACAAACACGGGATGCAGTACACAGCCACTTGTCATCTCGTGGTTTATGTAGCTTCCACTGCCAAAGCACGTACTGTTACTCTTCTTGCTTTCAGCATTAAAACAACTGCTAAACAGTGACCACAAGCCAAGCATAAAGCAGCTTTGTATCACACCTACTGCAACCAGGCTACATTGGAAAACTATCCTGAAGCATTATCTGATTTTTATTTTCAGCTCTAATACCTTCTATTACGTCCCCAGAACGATCAAGTCTTAACAAGACAAAGCACACGACATTATATATATTTAACACTTTTAATCCTGTTTGTTAGCAGCATTAACAGCATTTCTGGCAATGTCCAGAAAAAAAATGCAGCTGTTTCAGTTTAGTCAACCTGCCCTGCTTGCAGGTTTGTTTCTTCAAACGAAAAAAGAGAAGTATCCATCTCCTTTAACTCACATCTCACATCTTACATTACCACCACTATCTCTAATGTATCGTGGAGGATCTTAAGCATATTATTTCCAGAAACCTTTTACTTTGTAAACACTTAGGACAAATAGGGGACTTCACCATGCTAGTGAGAAATTACCTAAGGATCCTCAGTAGACATCAACGTTTGGGCTTAAGTATCTTTGCCTGACTTCAAGCTCAGTTGCATCTGTAAGAACAGCAGAAGGCAGACAAGCATAAAATGCTTTCTCTGCTCCAATCTCCTTACAGATAGCAGCCTCTTCTTGGAGACCGCTAAAAAACGTGATGAACTGCTCATCAACACTTCCCAGCAGCATGTCTGCACAAAACCCAGAACAAGTAAGATGAGTGTACTTCCTTTTCTAGATATTCCAGCACACCTCTGTCAACTGTCTTTCCAATGTAACTACGAGACAAAGACATGAACTGGTGATAAGAGAAGTTCTCTCTGCAGAAACTCGGCGCTCAACTTGTGCTTCAACACACAGAGTGATAAATCACTGCAATAACTGCATCTGAGGGTGTGCTACAGAGATTAACTCTGAGGGAAGTCCAAGCCACAAAACTACCCCCTGGAATGACATGCTGCAAAGGACAAACATGACTCCCTGCCAAGGAACAACTACGCTACTGAAACATAAACGCTTGTCAACTGAACATCCAGAGACAACTATGATTAATTAATTAGGTCTTTAGATCTTTTGAGACCCAGTTCCCTACAGAAAGGAAAAAGCTTTAGCAAAATATGAGGAAAACACAATAACTCCTGCTACGCCCAGCAGTGGAAAAGTCACATATATTACAGCAAAAAGCCTCACTACTAGCCTAACTGAAAATAAACCTTCCAGAACTTTGCTGCAACCAGTAGAATCAAGGCTGATTTCCTTACAAAGCCTCTTCAAATTCATCTCCATTTATACTGAACTTCTGAATTAAAGAGTTTTGAATCAATTTTTAGATTGACAGAAGACAAGGCTTGCCAGTTACCATACTTCAACATAAAATCAGTACAGAGCCCATAAACAAATACAGTAGGAAAAACCTCACCTTTATCCTTAAATTCTCCCATAAATTTACAAGATAAACTGGAATTTACATACACAGATCCCCCCGGGTTTCTGAGTTCTCTCAGTTACTCAAATTACAGCAACATGGTCCCTGAGCTACAAGCTCACTTCTTACAAAGAAGATTAGTTAATTTGAATTAAAGGAAGAAAAAAAACCACAAAACCAACATTCAGAAACTTACGTTGAATGTGAATGAACTGCTTTGGTTGCTTAAATTCTCCTTTATACAAACGATTGTAATAGTTCACATTGCTCTCTGCTTCAGGAACTGGGATAACCATGCTCTCTTTCTTTTCTCTGAAAACTTGTTGTGCTGAGATAGCCCGTTGCAAGTGATGTTCCTGCAAGACAAAGTGAAGAGTTTATTTTACAGAGTATTTACAAAGATAGTCATCCCACTCTCCTACTCTTTCCTCAGGTTTGTACGCAAATTCCAGATAAGAGAGTCAGGCTTCGCCGTATTTTAGAGGACAGCAGGATGTTTGCTTTCAGGTTAGTGACAAGAGATGGATTCTCCACCACCCAGGAGCCTAACAGATCTTAGAGCTCTGAACAGATAACTGCTCAAAGCACAAACCTTCTACCAGACAGTGAAAAAGTCACTCCAACAACACAAAACACCCGTTTGGTTCATACCAGCTCTGATTCCCTAACTCATTAAAAGTTACCATGTAGAAAATGTATGTAAAACCAGTTAGCATATACATTAAGTCCTTTAAAGCATTCTTACAAACAGTATCACATCAAAAGAATAGCTAATCCCCTCGTTCCAATTTCGCCAGCAGTTCCTACGAGCTTGTTTCTTTAGAAGTTCAGACAGTTAAGTGACAAAGCATCCTCAAAGTGAATCACTGGAAAACACGGACTCCCTAAACAGGTATCACTTCATTCTCACAGGACAGAAGACAGAACTGCCATGGAATCATTTCAGGTGAAAGCCTCGCAGCTTAGTGACTCTTCTCTCAAGGAGCCAGGAGACCGCAAGCATCCTCCTCCATTTCCTCAGTCTTCCTGGACAGCAGTGCTCTCACTTTCAGCTCCAAAATTTGAGAGAAGAGATGACATAGCAGAAAATCAACTCAGAAATCCACTCTAAAGCTCAGCTCTCCCCAACCTATACAACCTTGCTGTGCCTGCTGCAGGGGCTTCAGGTTATCTTCCAGCCATTCCCACTCAACCAGTTGTTAGGAGCAGAATAAGCACAGAATCACAGAATGGCCTGGGTTGCAAAGGAGCACAGTGCTCATCCAGTTCCAACCCCCTGCTGTGTGCAGGTCACCAACCAGCAGCCCAGGCTGCCCAGAGCCACATCCAGCCTGGCCTTGAATGCCTGCAGGGATGGGGCATCCACAGCCTTCCTTGGGCAACCTGTTGCAATGCCTCACCACCCTGTGTGTGAAAAACTTCCTCCTAATATCCAGCCTAAACCTCTCCTGTCTCAGTTTAAGACCATTCCTCCTTGTCCTAACTCTATCCACCCTCATAAACAGCAATAAAGCTTCTGGTGCTCTCTTTCTGGCTCCCTGAGGGTACCCTCCTCACCCGCAGCTGCAGGGATCACCCTGACTCACATATGGGACACATCCCCAGCAGAGCAGCCCAAGCTTCAGCAGATTCTGCACCACGTCTGATGCAGAAATCGTCTCGAGAACAAGACTTCTCCCTCTTTAATTCAGCAGAGCATAATTTACAAAAAGAGCACAGAACAAAAGCCTATCCTTAAAAATACACTGATGATTTTTTAAATGAATTACACCCTCTTAAATATTAAGACGTTGCAGAACTGAAAATAACGCAATTTCTGCAAAGTTAGAATATAACAAATTGGTGACTGGAAGAGCAGCTTCGGGAATCTCCGGTAGCAGATGAAGCAACATTAAATCAAACCACCAGGCTCCCAAGTGAACGCTACCAGAATTAAGACCGGAGTGTGATCACGTATCTGGCGCGATGTGCTGGAGTTAAAACACGCTGAATAAATCTGTCATTCCAACCACGAAGCTGTCTGGGAAAGCTTCACAGTGCTGAGCAGGTAATTCAGCTGAAATAAAATTTGTTTCATTACTGAGCTGTTTTCTGTGGGCATCCCTGGAGTCGCCTGCTAACCGCACAGCGCAGTGCTGGCAGAGAGGGCACATGGAGGCTGCCTGTGCAACTGCTGCCTCCGGTAATGAACGAGTAGATGAGTAAATAAGGATTCACTTCCATGGAAAGCAGGAAAGGAGGGCACACAGCAACCAAAACTCAAAGCGTGCTGAGGCTCTGCGAGCTGCTCCACGGCCCACTGAACAGCACAGATGAGTAATTCCAGTCTCAGTTTCCATAACACTGCTGGTAGGTGTGCAGGGAGTTCCCAAGGAAAGGCTGAAAATAGGTGTCAGTGTTCACTTCACTATACAATGTCTTCAAGCATGACACAGCCTTCAAACAAAGAGCTCTGGAAGCACTACTGTCACTCAATCAGTAGAGCTTCCAAAGAAACAGGTACACTATATCATTTTTGCAATCAGAACTGAAATAACTTTCTACTGAACATGAAGTTAAGGAAAATACAAATTCCAGCCCTAGAAACTGTTCTGTTCAAATGTACCCTGAAGATATATAAATCAATGAGTCTAATTAAATGGCTTGACTCAACCCAAAGACAGTCTTTAAGGTCTTAATGCATTTAGCAACCAACACACAGTGCACCCTTTTGCCCACTTTTCTTTTTCTCTTGAAAGGAAATCACCACCTGTACCTGGCTCTGCAGCAGGGGAGATGCAAAGCTCTCACACACTGAGGGAGCACGAGAGGAAATGCAGAACGTGCTGCCGTGGGGATTAAAAGGAACATCTGTCAAAAAGTCCTTTATCCTTTAAGTTCACACGATTGTTTCCCACAGCACTCCCCTGAAATACTTTCATCATACTTTCAATAAACGCTCTAATTTTCTGGCTGAGCGTGTTTGGATCTCCCTCTGGTTAAACACCATCCTCACACTGAAAAGCTGATCTTTGTCTTTATCATGAAACTGTAAAAAGCAGCTCCTTATTGGACACAGTTCCCTTGGAGAAACAACTTCAGGACATACTGAATACAACTGGTCCCTTCTTCATCCCTTCAATTACACCTCGCAGGCAACAACCAAGCACTTCCAAACAAAAGCTGTGTCACCACCTTTAGACTACTTGTCCCATTTTTTTATTGTTGTTTTTGATTTTGTATATACATTTTTAATCTGACAATCACACCTGCTTACATCTGTATCTACCCTGCAGGGCAGAAAGGCAAACCTGGGACAGCATGATGCAGTACTACAGAGCTTCAGGTCACACCATTCACCTGAGGTATTCCGAATACAGTTGACTTTAAGGACAGAAATGTTACCAAGAGGAACAAAGCACACCCCAGCCTAGCTGTTACCATCAATTCTTCTTAAGCAAGTGCCTCTGACTCTATTGCAGCCCACTGCAATTGTAAGCACGATGGCAAAGGAAAGTGAATGTGGTAACAGGTTCAGCTACTCTGAATGGGTTCCTTCTCTGCTAACCCTAGAGCCACCTTCCCTTTTACCTCCAACCAAAAAAGGAATTAAAAGAAACAAAAGCAGCATGAGTAAATCTTACCAAAGTCTAGTTGGTTGATTTGCCCAACACCAGATGCAAATCAGGAATTGCTATCAGTGAGCATTTTTATATTTAACGTACGCATTCAGAAACAGAAGTTTTGGTATGAGATCAGCAGGCTCACCTTGAAAAGTCTCAACCACAGTTCCAACAAAAAGTTTCAGAGACATCTGTAAACAGCACCTAAAGAGCAGTGATCTGAAGCTCAAAGGCTATGCTAACCGAAGTGCAGCCTTGCTGTAAGTGACAGCCCTACCTGCCTCAGGAACCACAGGCACTGACTCCTCTACTCCTCATCACTGAAGAGCAAGCAGGTACCAAAAAAGCCAGGGTGCCTACAGACCTTTTTTTCCTTTCTTTCCCCCTTTTCTGCCCTGGGAAGGAAAGCAGTTACCTGAAACAGTCACATACACAGCACGAAAACACCACAGAGATTTTCAGCCTTGAGACAGCAACAAGTATCTTAGAGAAACTCACAGCTTCATTTCTAATTTATTTTGAAAAGCAAATACTTTAGTGAATTAGCATATCGAGTTGTTTGGGCTTTTTTTGGTCCTGATCCAACAGAATCTGTTCAGTCATCTGTGCTGTTTCCTCAGGTCATGGTTTCCTCAAAAGGTTCTCTCTGTTACAAAGCCATGTGGAGAGCCAGGCAGACACAGCATCCAAACCCTGTACCCAAAGCAGGGTGCTTTACAGGATCAAAGCTCCTTCCCCAGTTGCCATGCAGGGTTTCTGGCTGGCTGTGGGAAGCAGCTCCAAAAAGCCAGCAGAAGACAGCGTGGTGCTCCCTGCTTGCAGGTGGAAAGTGCTCACAAAACCACTTAAGTTCTTCTGCTGGCCAGGCCGTGTTTTCCCAGTGCAAACTCCCCCAACTTCTTCTTTCACAAGAATTATTCCCCACTCCCCATGTTGTTTTGCCTTCCTCACTGCCAGATTACAGGACTACAGGAAAAAAAACCAAAACCATATTACTAACAGGCTGCTGCTACACACAGCCCAATGAAGGAGGGCAGCAATGTGAACCACACTGCACGATTTCACCCCACAGATTCACAGAAATCCCCACACTGCGTAAGATTTTTATTATTTAGCTACTTAAAAGGCACTCTATTTTTTGTCCATGTTAATAAAGGACCAATAAAAAGAAAAAAAAAGAATCAGCAACAACACGTCTGTCATTGTCTTCCCTTCTCCAGCTTCATGACCCACAATGTCACAAAGCAATACCAGTGACAGCTGGAAGCCAAAGATGAGCTGCTCTCTTTCCATGTGCACCTTGGGGACAAACCCCCTGGAAACCACCTCAAAGATGCTGATGGAGGCTGAAATGATACAACACAAGGGCCATGAGAAACACCTGAGTGAGCTCAACTTCCTTGGACAACGCTTGGCATCCAGATACATGGGTCTGCAAAGGAGCTGGAGGAAGAAAGGGAAAAGAAAGAGAATGAAGGAAGGGAAAAAAAAAGGAGCATTTTGTTTCCAGGTGCCATTGCGTCCCTTTTAGAGAGAACTGTTATAAACAGTTTAACGTTCAGTAAGTGTATTCACTTAGCAGCTTGTGATACATTTGCATCGCTCAGCACATAACAGCTGTAACACTAGAAAAAATTGCAAACAAATTGCAACCAAGGAATTACTGTTATTTTCTTGAAAGAGTGCTTCCACAAGTGTAACCGATTGCCCAAGTCAGACAATCAGAAATGCAGAGGTGAACACCTACGTGTCTT